GGCGTGGTGGGGTGAGGTGTGGTGTGGCGGGGCGGGGCGGTGAGTAATGCAGGTTCGCAAAAGGCCTCATCCGGGAAAAGCACTCACTGTGAAGGAACGGTACGGCAGGCCGTGCCGAGGTAGTAACGATATTGGAAAATGGACGGTGTGTCATCTTTTCTTTAATCCTTTCTCACACACTTTATTCATTTCCACTTCTTAAAGTTGTGACAGGCGGCATAGGGAGCTCGAGGACTCAAAAACAACCGCCGACCGCGTACTCTCCGCGGTCGATCTTCCCCGCGTGCGGTGTGGCGACTCACTCGCTCCGGCGGCGCCGCCTGCTCGTGTGCGTATGCCAAAGCTAGGCTACCCGCCCGCACAGCTGCCGTGCGGCACTGCCCAAGTGCACGGCTGGACTCTAGCCGAGACTTAAACCCGCTCCAGCCCGCCGCCAGTTTCGATATGCGCGCCGCGCACGGGTCCTCTTTCCTTTGTTTACACGTTACTCATTTACACGTCCTGCTGTGTCACTCACAGGCATGCGATGCGGCTGCCTCTGTCTCTCGTGAGTGCCTTATGCCGGGTCAGGATCGCTCCCCGCCCCGCACCGCGGCAGGTGCGGACAGGACATGGCGAGGAACACACGCCACGCACCGCTCGGCGTGAGTCACCATGAGGAGTCACGAGCGGCAGTACAGGTTCCGGTGGTTTAGCAGGGCTCACGCCCGGGGTCCCTATGCCCAGCCCGGCCGGGCCCGAGCTCGGCTCCGCTTAGCTGGCCCCGCGGCTCGCCCGGTGGTGCCCGGTCTGGTGGCCACCACCAGGATGCAATCAAATCACCTCTGGATCTCAGGGTTTTGCCTCGCTCAATGCCCGTCCCGTCGAGCTTGTGATGCCCATATGTACCCACTCGGAATTGTTGTAACCTTTTCTTTTTTTAGACCTTTTCCCCTTCTTTTCAAACACACCTACCTCTCCTCCTTTTGAATGTTTTCTTTCGTTGCTGTTTTTTTCCCTCTCGCTTCAATGTGTGTTAGGCCCTGATAAATCGTCCCCGCCCCAACCATTTCCCTCCTCATCCTCCCCCTCCCCGCTCCTTTCCTCTCTGCTTCTGGAAAGTTTCGCAGCCAACCCCGCCGGCCCTGGCTCTGCTACTCCTCTCCAGCACATTACCCCTGCAAACACACACATACGCACGCACACACACACACATCGATCCGCGGGCTTGCGCTGCAGAGAGGGGCTGCAGGACGTGACCGCAGTGTGGTGGCGATGAAAAGGGAACGGCTCCGGCTCATTCAGACGACGACGCCAGCCCCCACGAAGCCGAGTGCTGTTGGAAAACGTAACTTTGCTCCTCAAACCCGAGCCCAAACCTAATCCCGTGGTGCGCCCCGCGCGGGCCTCGCGGACCGGAAGTAGGTGCGCGATGGCGTCCGCTCTGCCCTTCCTTCCGGGCAGTGTGCGCCGGGCGAAGGGGACTTCCACCCCCGCGAGTGAGTGAAGTTGTAGCGACTGCCGGGGAGGGGTCGCGACCGCCCCGGCGGCCCCCCGGTGGCCCCGCCCGGGTCCCTGATCCAATAGTCAAAGGCCCATGGGGATGCGTTCGGGTGGTTTGGCCCCCGCGACACACACCGCGCCACCACAGCAGCGCAGAGAAGCCTCTTCGGACGCCACCACCGCCTGGTTCTACGACTGGAATATGACAGTGCGGGCCGACTGGCGCCCAGAGGGTTGGTGGTGGAGGGGGCGGGGGGAGAGAGGGTTTGCGGTAGACAGACGATCGTGCGGGCGAAAGGGGGGAACTCGAGTCGGCCAAATCAATCCCGCCCAATTTGAGACGCTCTGCGGGCGCGGCAGGGAGCTAAGG